TATTTTGCAGCGTGTTTCCTCCTGTTTTCTTCAGTTACGCACGTCTCAGGCTCTGTTACCGTAATGCACCATAAATAAGCGCAACAAATTTTTACAGCGAGTCAGTGTCGGCTGGCTTGACGGCATGTTTCACACCGTCGGCTCACTTGACCGCAGTGAGACGCCTAAAGAGATTTAGCTAACGTTAGCTTATTAGCTTCCCTCAAAGCTTTCCGAACTAAAAGATTCGACATGGTGAGTAAAACTTCCCACAGCAAACATATTCTCAGTGACATTTTAGAGTTCAAACGTTCATAACACGTTTAAAACATTTGTTTGAGAGCATTATCTTTTTTGTGAAATTGGAGTTTTTTGACGTTGTTTTGATTTTCGCTGTTTTCCTCAGCCTACAAAGGCGAACACGAAAGTCTCTAAGAGTAAGTTCCTGCAGTGATGCAAAGTTATTTCATGTTGGGTGTTTGTTTCAGGTTAAAGTAGAAAAAAAATGTTACAGATTTTGACGTTAAACGACAAGAGGGCTTGGGTCAGAGAGTACTTTTGAAAATTAGTTTTGTTTGTTTGTTTGTTAAAGGTTTTTAATGTGCAAATATTAACCATTATAAATAAAATCAGTTTCTGTCCTTACACCAGCTGTTCGTGCCAGTGTAGAGTGTATATCGATAGTAATCATAAATCTCTGTTGTGTTCAAAATAATATATTGCAATTTTTTATTTAGTACATAGTACACACATGTAGTGTCTAGAAGAGGCTAACTAAGTACTTAAACACATCATGGCTGTAATAAGATGATCAATCTCCTGCTGAATGTATATTTTTTGCAGATGATGATGATTTCCGTGACAGCTTGTTTGAGGATGAAAGTAAGTTCTGGTTTTATTTGTTTTGGCAGTCTAACAGTCTTCTATCATTGTTAGTATTGCTAAAGTGTGTTGTTATGTTTTTGACCTATTACCCTTCAGAACAACAACTGCAATCAAAAATAACTCATAGAGGACCACTAAATCGGTGAGTTGATCATATTCAGAAGTTGCGCTCCATAAATGATAAATAATCTGCTCCCCTGTTGAGTCACGCTTTGCTTCTTTCCCAGCTCGTCTACTACTGATAAGATTTACAGTATCCTGGCAGAGGAGGCAATGAAGGATGGCTTGGACCTTGAGGTACAATTTAAAATGTGAACCAAAGCACAAAGTATAGTCTTGTTTTATATTATTGTATTTTTTCCTTTTTTATTGAATTGTTCCTGTTAAAGGACTCTGACGTCTCAGAGGCTGATCCCACAGACRTGCTGAAGAACTTGAAGGTAGATTATTTCCAAGCAACAAAATCCAATTTTATTGCGCAACACATAGTTCACCAAAGTGTCTTTTTTTTCCACTCAGGACTTGGATGATATGGAGGCTGACCTCTTTTCTTTAAAGAAAACAAGCAACACCGCTCCTGCACCAACAAAACCAATCGCTGCTGGTGTTTTAAAGAAAGACTCCACTTCCGTAAAAAGTCCTGAAAATCCAGAGAGAACAGGTAATTCAGTGCAAACCTTCCTCATTATTAGCTTCATTTTACTACCAGCTTTGAATCAGATGAGTCTTTTTTTGCATTTAGATGAAGCCACAGTAGGAGGAAAGAAGCCAAACTTCACTCCTCCATCCACAGTCCGTAGCTATAAGAAGTTCCCTTTTGCCGGTGAGAGAGCCTCAGTGTTTCATGCAACCCTAAAATGTAGCTTTTTGTAACCAAATACAAAAGGTAGATGTAACATTAACTCGCTGCTTTTCTTTAATGACTGCTTATATGCAGATAACAGTAAAGGGGATGATGAACATCTTGGTCAGACATCAGATATTAAAGGTATTTTAGTTTGTGTGTGTGTTTTTGTACTTCAGTAGCATCAGTAACTCCATGTTAAAGTGTCTCTTATTGATACTTTTCAAAATTGTGTTCATATGGAGGTAATTGGTAATAAAATTTAACCTTAATCATAAAAAAATAATTCTTTTAGGAAGCCATAGAGCCCAACATTAACATCTTATGTTGAGTTATTTTCAAGCTCAGGATCAAAATTAAGAATAAACAAACAAAAATGTCAGGTTTGCAGAACGCTGATGTCCACTAAAATCGACAGTTTGTCCACAAACCGTCAGTTTTCTGTTTATAAGAAGAGGCACAGTAAGCCTTGTGAGTGATTCTGTAGTGAAAGAACTGGCAGGCCACATATTTGGATGCTTGAATGAGCCAGATCTTGACATTTCTTCAGTCTGTAGAGCTCCTCGTCTAATAATTTCTATGAATAATCTCTTAACAGATATATTTAACAATAAGAAAAACCTTTGCAAGCTTCCAGGTGGTTTAACTCACACTGGGTGGGTGAGTCGGGGTTGAAGGATGATCTCACAGAGCTCTACGATGAAGCTGGAAGATTAAATCCAATTTTAACATTTCATAATATTTATTGAGCAGATTTTGTTTGTATCTATGTCCTGAAAACTTTCTGCCGTTAATCAAAGCTAAGAATTTCAACCAAAGAAGTTTTTTTTTTTTTGCTTTGAGACAAATTTCAGTTTTTGAACAAATATTTACAGAATTTGACATTTGCACCAGTGTAAAATTGTATTTTTGATAAGCCTGTAAATATCAAATATTAAAAACATGCAAAACATCCTTGAGCTATCTTGACCTTTGGGAGGTCTGATTACATATTTTCACAGACACATTTTTAAGCTGTCTGGAATTCGAGGTGTGTTTAAAGGCACAGTGTGTAGGATTTTGTCAATTCTTTTAGCCAAAATTGAGATAATCACTAATGACAATAATAAAAACATGTCTAATCATTGCAGACAAAGACCTTCTTTTATTATTTTTACCTTATAAAAAGCTGTTTATTTCTCCATGGTTGCGGGTCACCACTACAGGCAGCCGCCATCTTGCACCGCCATCTTGTCTACGAAGGCTCATGAAGGACAAACTGCGGTGGCGGCGTCAAAAATGGTTTTAGTTGTAATACTATAAATGTAATATTTGTTGTCTGTCATTGTAGCTGGGATAATTTTACTTATTAAAGCTCAWAATCTTACCACTTGAAACATCACTAGCCCTGAAGCTGCTGGTAGACATCGGGGTTGGAATTATCAAAGGTTTTTGACACCTGAGAGACACCGTAGCAGCTCCTTTGCATTTGGAAGAGGGGGATGGGGGTGGAGGGAGGGCCAGGGAGGATGATTCAACCACTCAACCACTAGATGTCGCTGAAAACAACAAATCCTACACACTGTGCCTTTAAGAAATGCTTTAATACAAAAAATAAAAAATAAAAACTCACTAATTTTCAAAGAACTGATTAAAAACAGAATGTTCAGTTTTTACCTTGCTCAAATATCTGAAATTTCGAAGCTGAAACTGGGTCTTTCTCTTTCACACAGAGGTTGTTTGACTTTGGGGAGTGCAAACACTATAAAAATAGGATCCACTTGCTTTCGCAGGTCTTGACGATCCCCTGGTCGACTCACTGGACGATTTGCTTCCAGATCAAACCAAGCCTGAGTCTAAACCTCCACACACCAATCCTGAAAAAACTCTTCCATCTGCATCGGCATCCCTCAACCCGAAGAAAGAAACACGTAAACCTATAAAGAGTTTTCTTTTTTCTTCTGTTTGTCACAAGTATTCACCCAACACGAAACCTTTCCCTGTGTTGAACAGCAAAGATGTCCAAAAAGGACAACTTCACTTTTGACGAGGACGACCTTGGAATCGACAGAGATAAAAACAATCCTGAGAAAAAAGAGACTTCTTTTTGGTCTTCAAAGGAGAAGTGAGGTTCTGTTTGCACTATTTTAATTTCTCGCTTTGGTTGCTGCTCTTGTCTCTTGTGCYCACTTAATAAATATTTACTGTGCCCTCAGAACAAAGCCAAGCTGGGACAATGTTTCCCAAACACATCAACAGTCTTTGCTTTTTAACATCATTTCATTTCTTCATTTGAAATTTCTTTCAGAGGCGATGTCCCTCAGAGACYTCGTACAAGAATTGACGACATTCTGGAGGGTTTGACTTCACCCCGTCCTCTGGAGCGACCCCCCAYGGGCGAGAGGTCCCCAGAGAGGCGGCAGCAAGAGAAGACCTCGAGYATGAAAGGTGATAGGATGTTGTGGTTCGATCTGTTGGGTAGTTGCCGGGAATGTCGTTGGAATAATCAAGTTGTTGCGTTGGTGTTTATCAGAGACGCTGTTAGACGATGACCTAACCTTCGGGTCCTATCAGCCCACTGTGGGGTCTGTTCCTGAGGGCCGCCAGTCACGCCGCCCGTCTGTCAGGTGCGTCCAAACTTAAYGGCTTTTTGTCACTCATTTTGAACCTGTTTCTTCAAACTTTTTTTTTCTTGTGATCAGATTTTCCACAGAAGACGACGGCGTCTCTGCTTCAGAGAAGAAACCGAAACCCGCCACCGGTCGACACCGCAGCTCTTCCAGCTGGCTCGGGCTTAAAACAAACAACGAGTCTGATTATTTAGGAGGTCCAAAAGAGGTGAAAGCTTCGTCAGAGTCTCCAAAGGCYTCCTCGCCTGCATTGGAGAGAAAACCATCTTTAAATGGAAGTCAGTTCACTTCTCCTGGGAAAACAGCAGAAGACGTCCAAACAGACTCCAAACAGAGCAAATCAGAGGCTCCTAAAAGCCAGAGGAAGGACGACAAAGATGAGGACGACTGGCTAGCTGGGGTGCTAAGCAAAAAGAAGGCTTTGTCAGAGTCTAACACGGAGACCAAAAGGTCCATACTGCAGGACTCTTTAGAGACGGGATCAACCGTTAGGTACTGTGCAAGACTACTGCCAGAACAACACGTGCTTCTTATGAATAAATGATATTTTTCTTTTCAGTAACCAAGTCACATCTTCCACTCCAAGAGCCAAAGAAGACACACTTTTATCCATCAAAGGAACTAGGTATGATTTTTGTTTTATTAATACATCCTTTTGCAAACATTTAGTTATGTAAATCTTCTTTTTTTTTTCCAGTCCTGCAGCTCATTCCACCCCTGTCAGAGAAGAGAGGCCCAAACAAGGTTTGGTTCTTATTAACACTTTATATTGGATGGCTCCATCCTTTAGTATTTATTGTCTGAACCTTTTTGTGATTGTCTTTTTGCAGTTCCACAGCACCAAACACGGAGCTCATCAGCTGCGACCCAGGAACAGGTGATGATATAGTTGCAAGTAAAAAAAAAAATCCCACCATCATAAATTGTTTTAGTGTTTAAATGCTCCGGTTCTTCTAAGCAGGTGTCTTTAACAGCAGACAGTCTGCAGCAGCTGCTACTGCAGCAGCAGGTGAAGATGGAATTCATTTTCTACACTTTAAGATGTTTATTTTATTTTTTTAATTAAAAAATTCACTTGTATTGTTTTTGGGTTTTGCTTTTCTTCCTTCAAACATAATCCAGATTCAGTTGCTGGGTCTAGGGGGGCCTGTTGATGCAGGGGTCTTGCAGAAACTTAAGGAACAACAACATGGAGATCAGCAAGCCTTACAGGCTCGTATTATCCAGTTGGAGGGACAGGTATCTCCTGATGCAAGCAGGGGAAATGATTTATTTCTCCCTGACTTTACTTACTCTTCTTCTATTCCTTTTATGAATTTGCCTTCTCTAAAAAAATAAATAAATGTTTTATACTCCAGGTAAAGATCCTGCATCTGGAGCTAGACCAAAGCCAAACATTGGTAAAGAGTATCCAGCAGCGGCATGAGCAGGATTTGGAGTTCCTGGAGAACACCCATAAGTAATTTCCTCATTGGTGAMATATAAATGTGCAAGCATCCACGCTTTGAGTTCTCTCATTTATGATTCTCTGTGCTTACAGCAGAGTTTGTGTCTGTAAGACTGGAAAACACCCTTCGTCTGCCATTACAGGACTGGCGTGAAGCTGCTGGAGGAGTCGGCTGCAAAGAGAGAGACACGAGCGCGGCTCGAGTGTGAGGAGCTGATGGAACGGCTGGCAGCGTTGGCGCGATCAGCCGAGCAGGAACGCTCCGAGCTGCAGGATCAGTACCATCGAAAACTGGCCCAAGCCCAGCAGGACCGAGACCATGAGGTGGAGAGGCTCAGAGACCTTCAGAGGTAAACCTGCAATTAAAAACAAAAACGATGGTAATTTGTACATTTTACTTTATAAAAGGAAAAGTACAAAAAAAAAAACCATTTTATTCATCATTTAATTCTTTGACACTTTAATCAAGAAAATCTATCCTGGAGATGAAAAAGGACCACGAGGATCAGCTTCAGAGACTGAAGAAACTAAAGGATGAAGAGATAGATGCCGTTACAAGTGCAACGTCTCAAACCAGGTGAGTCATTTTTACTTTTAACTTCTGTGCTCAGGATCAGGTCCTGAGTGATAAACTCTTGGCAGAGATTCCCGAACATCTTCCTCCCACAACCACCTCAGCTGGCAATGCTTAGTGACGAGGATCAGCGAGTTTACTCAAGAGTTCCTCGAAAACAACTGAACTCCTTGAASTATCCACAAAGTTAGGAYCGGACATTGTTTAAAGGGATCCCTGATTAGTAGTAACATTAGACTTTATTTGATAAACATATATTTTAACTGTAAAATAAAGACTGTAAAAATACTGTAGGCTGTTTTTTAAAAATATATTTTAACACAGACGGAGCCATTTTATTTACACGCAAAGCATTCTGGGTAAATGATGACTTGGATAGGTCATCAGTGCGAGGCTGCTAGYGAGCTATATCCACCCTGAAGGTTAATCTTGGACAATATCTGATGATCGACTCTTTTAAATGAAACCAGAGAGCGTTGACAGAGAGGAGAAGGTAGAAATGACTCAGCCTGTAACTGAAAATATGGATGGAGGATAACAGAGCTGCTTCATGGAAGAAGAACCTCAGCTTAGCCTGTTAGCCTTGGCGCTAGCCCTCATGCTATATTGCCTTATATGTATTAGCTCGGCGCTAGCTCAACAAACAAGCTAAACTGCGGTCCTCCATCTATTTTTCAGTTGCAGGCTGAGTCATTTTTGTGTTCCCCTCTCTGTCATGTGGATGGAGGACCTCAGTGATGAGAGGAGAATGTGTAGCGCTGAGCTAATACATATATATAGTGATAGCATCCGGGCTAACGCTAAAGCTAACAGGCTAAGCTGAGGTTCTTCTTCCATGAAGCAGCTCTGTTGTCCTCCATCCATATTTTCAGTTACAGACTGAGACATTTCTACCTTCTCCTCTCTGTCAACGCTCTCTGGTTTAAACTTTTAGTTTAAAAATGATAAAAACTAAACAGGCTACAGTATTTTTACAGTTTTATTTTACAGTTAAAATATATGTTTATCAAATAAAAATGTTACAACTAATCAGGGATCCCTTTAAACAAAGCTTCTTTTGAACAAATGGTTTTGCAGATTGTTTGGAGCGCTACCAACAGGCCACAATCTAAATTGAGAGGTTGTGTTAATTAGRGGAAGTGTGCAGGACGTTTACACTAAAGAGCTAATTTCTTATTTATGTCTCTTTGTTGTGCCACAGTTTTTTCATTTCTTAAATTTTAAGAACTATTCCCGATGAGATTTTTTTCTTCTTTTTTTTTTCTTCTCGGTGAAGGTCTCTGGCAGGAGTGATCGAGCAGATGGAGCAGTTCTCCTCCCGCCTCGGCGAGCTCGCGTCTCGGGTGGAGAGCGCACAYGAGCACGCCGCCCAGGGCCTGGAGCAAGGGGCGCGGCACAGAGACGAGCAGCTTCGAAGTACTTCAGACCTCCACACGCTCTCTGTACAAATAGGTCAAAGCGAGCCCATCGCGGTCTCAAAATGCAACTGAGTTAAAGCCCTTCAAATGTTTGTTTTTTTCTTCTTCCAGTGTTGCAGGACCGTCTGACGCAGCAGCAGAAAGCCACGGAAGAGGAGAGAGCTCACCTCAAGGAAATCATCTCCAGGATGGACACGCAGCTCAGCGAGCAGCAACGGCAGCTTGAGAAGGTGTGAAACAAAAAAAACACACCTACAGTTAGCAGTGTCCGTGTGCTTTTTGGTCATTGGATTTTAGTTTTAAAGCCCGATATTGAAAAAAACTGATGGAATCCGTGTAAGTTTTGTAGATTTTATGTTTAAAACTAAATTACTTTGAGGTCAACAAAATGAAAATTGAATAAATAAAAAGTACACGTAACACAGCGGTCAGAGGAGCGTGTTTTTTTATTTAAAGTACAGCACAAATACAAAAGGATGAGAAAAGAAAAACCATTTAAACATGACATAGCTGTAACCCTTTTGGTCCAACGTTGAACACAATGGTAATTTCCATCTTATGGGATATTGCAAGATGTCACACTTGCAGTATGTATTACAAATGACCCTCAGCTACTACCACACCAAATGTTAAAGATATGTAACCTTTATAGAAATGTATGGTTGGTTTTTTTTTTTTACATATTTTTTAAAACTGTCCCTATGTAGTAGAATATGAGACCAATAATCAGAATCAGAATACTTTATTGATCCCCGAGGGAAATTACAGGTATTACAGCTGCAACCATTCAGATCAGAGAAACGTGAARGGAAATGAATAAGCACACTAGAATAAAATAAGTATCAACACACAAAATTACAAAATAAGCAAACTTATGTACACATAACTAGTGCTGTATAAAGTACCACAAAGTGATACTTGAGTAAAAGTACAAGTATCTTACCAAAAAATTACTTTTGGTAAAAGTTAAAGTCTCCTTTCGGAATATTACTTAAGTCTTAAAATATCTGATATTTTTTGTACTTAAATATTAAAAATAAAAGTATTGATTTAAAATGAACAGTTAGATTTTCTGTAAGGACATTTATTAGGAGGTGATCTCCACAAAACAATGCAGAAATGACTATATTGTATTAAAAATAATTTGTTAAATTTAAGATGCACTAGTCTAGCTGTTTCAGTTTATTTACATATACAGTGTCAAGGCTGCACAAACTTTTTCTCCAAAATGAAAATCTATCCAAGGGCTGCTTTCCAAAAAAATAATATAATTCATGAAATACAAATACTTCTTAGGTACAGTCCTTTTCTTTTAATGATTATGTCCTGCTGGAGTGTGACATGATTTGTTTGTTTACAAACTAATGCGGTTTCAGAATTTTATATATTTATACTTCTCATTCAACCACAATTAAATTCACTATCTAATTTATATGGATAGTATTTATTTTATACAATAACAAGGTGGAATGAAAACAAGCAAAAAAAGAAATAAAAGTAACGACTTTCTACTTCTTGTCTTTTTTAAAGATGTAAGGAGTAAAAAGTACAGATAGTAATTGTGTGAAAAWGTAAGAAGTAGAGGTAAAAAGTMGGCTGAAAAATAATTACTCAAGTAAAGTACAGATACCCAAAAATTCTACTTAAGTACAGTAACAAAGTATTTGTACTTAGTTACTTTACAACTCTGCACATAACAATGTACAATAAAAATAATTGAAATATTAAGAAAACGTGTACAGAGATGATGTTTGGTATAATGCACATGTTTAGTGAGTATCATGGGTAAAATACAGTAAAATAAGTATCAAATGAAGACTAAAAATAGTAAAATGTACAGATGTGTTAGTGTAAATGTACAGATGATCTAGTTTCACGTTTAGGGAGGAGTTATAGAGTTTGATGGTAGGAACAGTGGACATCAATAATAAAGCTCCTCTGGCTCCTCGCATTGGTCCTACAGCTCTTTGCAGAAATACACMGCTCCCGGTCAAAATCAATCAGTCAGGAGGATTATCTCACCACAAGCGCTGCTCCTGCCTTTCCCCTTATAGCATATACCCTCATTTAAGCTTAAGGTTGCCGGTGTGCGGCAGCTGTGCTGTTGGTGGAAAAAAAATCTAATTGTACAGGAAAACTGTCAATTTCTGAGAGTTGTGAATGTGCTGTGCTGTTTCTCAGCCATCATGAGTGGCCCTGCTGCGTGTTCACAGCAGGCTCTGCTGTGGGGATGGAGCACAGCAGAGAGCAAGGGGGAAGGGACCTGTAGGGTGTGTGTTTTTTTTTTTTTCAAATGTTCAGACTAAGTCCACTGTTTTCTCAGAACTCCCTACTGCAGCTTCAAGTTAGCATCTGTAAAACTGACTGAGCTGCCTTCGCCTGTTGCCGGTGAGCAATGATAAATCGCTAACGGTAGCGTGCTGTGTCGTGTGCTTCAGGAACGCTGGAAGGCGACGGCAGAGCAGGCCAGAGCAGACTCGACCCAGAGAGGCTTGGAGGACGAGCGGCGCGTCCTCACCGCGCAGATCAGCGTGGAAAGAGAGGAGCTGGAGAGAGCCAAGGTGAGGCCGGCGAACGCCTGGGTCGGAGCCGGGCTGAATCCCACGCCATTCCACCTCCTGCGTCGTCTCCTTTTCAGAACGCGCTGTTGGAGGAGCAGAAGTCTGTGATGCAGCACTGCGCGGAGGAGAGGAAGAAGCTGGCTGCCGAGTGGGCCCACTTCCACACTCAGGAGAAACAGCAGCGCGAGAGAGCTGAACGCGAGGTCAACAGCCTCATTGAGAGGAGAGAAGGCTCCATCATCAGCCTGGCACAGGTTAGATCATGACTTTAATCGAGACGTTACGTTTACGGCTTTAAATAGGAATTCTAGTTCATTGTAAGTAAGCATYTTTGTTTTTCAGCACAAAATGTTTCTTGTTTGTAGGAACAAGCTGACCTGAAGCTGCGTACGGCAGAGCTGAGACAAAAAGAGACGGCAGCGACGCAGGAGAAAGAGACGCTGGAGAGGCTGAGAGAAGAGCTGGACAGAGAGAAGGAGAGGATAAGCAGCGCYGCTCTGAGACTGAAAACACGGTCCCAGGAGGTCGAGGCCTTCAGCAAGGTGATTTCACGCTCCGTCAGACCCCCGTGCGTCCTTCGGTGCGAGACGAGTGATTTATTTATTTMTTTTTGATCTCCGCAGCTCGCCGCCAAGCGCTACGAGGCAGGGGAGCGAGCGCTGCAGGAGGCGAAGCGCGTGGAGGCGGAGCACGAAGTCCGGCTAAAGAACATTCACTCCCGAGCGGAGCACCTGAGGCAGCTGGAGCAACGCGTGCTAAAGGTGTGTGGTGGTGGGGGGGTGGGCACGTGCAGTAAATGATAGCTACGTGCTAGCATCTTAACGGCTGCTGTTACAGGAATGCACGAGGTTAAATCATCTGCAGACTGACACCGAAAAGACGAGACAAACCTCTGCGGTCTCACCGTTACCACAAACCATTCCATCTGTTTTACCAGGTGAGGGTAACTTAATGTCGCTTTATTTTAAAAATAATAAAACATGATGCGAACTTTTCTTTTTGTTTTTCGCCTGTAGATTCTGTTTCAGTGTTACTTAGCCCTGAGCTGTCAAGGTCCCAGAATGTCCCTCCCTTCAGCGTTTCCACAAACAATAAATCAATGACGATGGAGGCAAGTCTGGATCTGTGGAAGTACAACACAGAAAAGGTGACGAGTTCAAGAACTCTTTACTCAGTTAAAAGCCCCGGCAAAAACAAATATTAAAAACATTTGCTTTTATAAATTTATAGTATCAGTAGTATTAAGAACTGTGTGGGATTATTTTCTGTTGTAATGTGTTGTTACACAACACAGAGAAATGTATCCTGAACCACACTTATAAAGGAGACAATGATTTAAAAAAAGATGGAAAGATTAAAATACATTTAAAGAGGTGTTGGGAGTTATAAGTGGCTTCACTACATGCAGTTTGAGGTTTCTAAATTTTGATAAAATGACTTGAAGCGTTTCCTTCAGCAAAGAAAACACTGAATCGTACTTCCTGAAAAGACAGTTATTTCCTGTATTTATTTCAAACTGATGCTTGGTTGTTTCTATTATGAAATGAACAAATACAAACTTGACTAAAAATAGATTTTTGCACACATCAATTAAAAGCCAGTAAATGGCTGGATCAGATGCTTCACAGCCAGAACTACTCTTACAAAATAAAAAGAAACTGCATCTCTCTGATCAGTTTTCAGCTTTCATGTGCAAACGGACCAACGGTTTGACTCTGCTAGTGTCTTCATCAGAGTCCAAGTCAACCCTGGACTCTGATAGGCACAAGTTGTGTTGAAACACTTTGCACATGAAAACTGAAATAGATCAAAGATCCAGTTTTTTTATTTTGTTACCTTAAAATGTGCTTGATAGCTTCATAACAAAATGTGATTAGTAACACGACCTGTTACAGTTAAGCAATTGAACTTTTGTAGATTTAACTGTATTTGCATTGAAGACCAACTTCTCACTCTAAATCAGAGGTGCCCAAACTGGGGCCCRTGGGCCAAAATTGGCCCGCCAAGCCATTTGATTTGGCCCACCAGCAGTTGTCTAGGCTAATATGTTGTAATCTCCTGTCTTATGTAGAAACACCATATTTCCACTTAATCTTTTCAACCATTGATCCAGCTATATAAAATATAATGCAGTAGATTTAACTCAAGATTCAACATAAAATAGAACTACAATAAATATTAAGATTAGATTTAAGCACACATCTAGATTTGCATGCTTTATAAGACCAAAAATACTCATTTTAATTTATGAAAAGTTCCATGAGCCATTATCGCCTGAGCATACATCAGATATTCTCCACATCCATGGGCTGAAAAAGCAAAAAATAAAACAAAATAAATGTGGGCCATCACACTGGCTGCTAGCTTAATCATAAAAAATAAATCAATTTCACTTAAGAAGTATTTGCATTTCACATATTATATGCATTTGGCCCTCAGATTGATTTTAATTTGGCCCTCTTAAAGAAAATGTTTGGGCACCCCTGCTCTTTTCTTCTAAGATATTTCCTTAAACCCATAATCGTTTCAGTCCTGAGTACTTTGTTTAAAACAGACTTATAGCAAAAGTAATTTGTCCTTTTTTAAAAAAAATTAAAATATAAAAAATTGAAATAACACAAATTGAACCTAGTAGTGGAGAAACCTTAAAACTGTTAATTTTATTTAATGTATTGAAATGTTACAAATATTCAACTATATAAGAAAAAAAAAAATCAGTCATGTATTTTGTTTTTGAAAAATTTCAAGTTGAATTTTTGATACTAAAATAGCTAAAGTACTTAATTATGCAAAAACAAAAGAATTTAGTGGAAAGACTGCAATTTTTCCATTAGGCTTTTTATTGTACATATGAAGAGCATAATACAACAAAAAATATGAAAGATCAAAAGGTTTTAGAACGTCTGCAGCATTAACTCAAGTTTCTCGTCTACAGGACCGGGAATTCTTCCAGGAGGAGCAGATTTATCTAGAAAACTTGAAAAGATCCTTTGGATTGAACACAGACTGACCACCACTTACTGGATGCTCTGAATTTACTCAACGTTTATCAGGTCAAACACTTATGAACGTTATCGTTTTACATGCAATGTATATAAAGTTACATTTTCACACTATGTTTATTCTCTTTATTTGACTTCCTGGTTGATCCAAGCTGTTTGTGCCTCCTTGCCAACACCACCTGTAAAGCAAAAAGGGGGACATTAATTAGCCAAATACAAGTACAGCAGCATGCAGAAGATGTTCTTTCAGGAGTTTGCAGTCAAGCTTCAGGTTACCATGACTCCACACTGAGTTCAGACAGGGATAACTTGTATCATCACCAGCTTGACTTTAAAGCAGATCTCGCCATCATTTACCTGTTCATGTTATTTTCTGGACTTGTGCTTCATCTTTGTGTCACTTTTCTTCTGACAACTGTTTAAAGAAATCTGCATGTTAGTCATAAGTATTAGGTGCTGATTATACAGATCTAATGTTGGACCAGTTTCTCAGAACAGCTCTTAAAATCGTCAGTTATCGCATCAGACGGCACTTCCTATGCAGCAGTTTTCATCACTGAAGGGGCAGCATGGGTCACAAGAAATGTGCACAACAAACCTTTGTCTGCTTTGTCCTGCCGGTTGTCCGGGATCCTGTCCACAAACCTAAAAACAACCCATTCTATTAGTCACAATCACTTGGTATGAATGTGATTTAAACACTGTGCTGCAGTAGCTCAGATTTACATATATTTCAACAAAAAGATTTCAGACAGGGATAACAAACTCATCATGTGCACTGCATATAGGAACACAAGCGTGTTCTACCACTTTAAGACCTTACCTGTAGTTATTATCCTGGAAGGAYAAGAAGGATCATGGTGCTGGTCCACATTTGTCCCATTCCCTCAAAAGGTTACCTGCAAGTAAAACCAAATTTGCGTTTTAAACATTTATTTTGAATTTGTATTACACCATATCCAATCAAGTGTAAGCACGTTTGATTTTAACACCTCTTAAAAAAAGACAACCAGACCACCGCATGATAGAGTTGCACGTGTTTGCCCCGCTTAGCTAACAAGCTAACGTGCTTAGCAGTGTTTACAAGCCGACTTTAAGCGTAAATTCACTAAAAGTCGTATTAACTAAATATATATATTTACCTCTTATATTTGGATCATCTGGAGACATATAAGTACACATAGCTGAGCTTTGGTGAATGGAACCGTAGAATAGTTGCCCCATCTTGCTTCTTCCAGCAGCACAGTTTGGGAAAGGTCCCACATCTCGCGAGGAAACACATTTATATGACGAAAACGTCACAAGTCACGTGATTTGGGACTGGGCGTACTTCGTAATTATTACAACAATTTGTTCAAAGAAAATTTGACAGAAACGTCCTTATGATTAAAATCAATAGGTATAATATTTTACACACATATTTCAACCATACATAATAAAGCCAAACAATAGTTTAAAGTTTTAATTATTGCGTTATGTTTATGAAACGTTCAAAGTGCGAGAAAAGTTGGCATTTCTCAGTTTTAAACTGTAAAACGTAATTTTTGTTATAAAATATGGGGTTTTAAAGGTTTTCTTCTAATCTGTGAATGTAATTTGATTTAAATGGAGTCGTAAATTCATATTTATTTAGCTACTTGTCAAATCAGATTTTCAAGTGTAATTAGCCTTTACAGGTTTTCTTTGGGCCAGTGGTGAACTTTAGGTTTACTTCTGTAAACTTTATTTAAACATAAATAAATGAATAAATAAATTCTATCCGAAATGGTAGTTTAATATAAATGGTTAGCCTATTTGAATATAAAATTATATTTAGTTAAATTTAGACTAGTAAAACTAAACGTGAGGTTATTTATAGAAGTGTTTTGTTTTGACAAACATTTACGGAGCAGGAAGTGGACCCTGAAGTATCCACGAGCAGGCTGCTCTCCTCCGGCTCGATCCCTGCCGTTCCCGCTTCCAGACACTAGGGGGAGACTGTGAACCAGCCAAGCTGCGCCTGTCAGGCTTTAAAGAGTCCCACAGCAGGCTGGGAGGGTTCAGACAGAGAGCTGCAACTCACCGGCCTCCGGGACACCTCGCACTCTCCGTCCGGGATGGAGAAACACGCCTCAGATCCGGACCCATCCCGGCAGCGGAACGGGTTCGTGGGCGTGCTGTACGGGGAGTTCACCGACACCCTGAACGACAGCGTCCGGTACTCGGTGAGCCTGACGGAGAGCGCCCTGACCATCCAGAGGATCTCGTCGTCGCCCGGCCGGAGTCAGGTGGTCTTCAACTTGACGGACTGTGTCGGCTGCCGGGCGTACCGAGGAGCGGACGGCGCGGACGTCGGCGCCTTCTTCACGGCGTATTTCTACCCGTTTAAGCGGCGCTGGATGAGCGCCGGGCTGACCCGGCAAAGAGTGGAGCAGTGTTTTCGGGTGGCGCTGGTCCAGGACCCGCTGGTCAACCTCCGGGAGGCTGAGAGGTGGGCGCGCGCCATCAGAGATGCCTCGGGGCTGCAGGCTCCACGGAGAGACGGTGAGTGTGTTTCACTTCCCAACAACTTTCTTCTAGAAAGCTCAATAACAATCTGAGACTTACCTTTGTAATTAATGAGCACCCGCACTCATAATAAGACAGTAAGATGAGCAGAGTAGCTCTGCCTCAAAGAAGTAGCCACTGTGTAAATACTATGAAAATATTCTTCAAAGTAAAAAGTAAGCATCTGGTCTTCTCCAGTCAATTTGTTTGTTTATAGTAAGGGTTCCCAAATGAAGGACGTGGCCCAAATCCTGGCCCAAGTTTTTTCTAACCCAGACTGGTGGGTTAATTTCAGTAGAATGATTTTTTTTTCAATGATGATGATGATGATAATAATAATAATAATAATAATAA